TTGCTTATAGATATAAGATAAAATATGGGAAGAAGAGATTTTTGTTGTATTTTTAGAGAAAATGATAAGTTGCTGTGTCTTTACACAAGGAAAAGAAATGAAATTGATTTATTTATTTAATGTTATATTGTTATTTCTGGTAACTCTTAATGGACATTTGCTGATTAAGATTGAATAATGAGGTTTTATTATTTACTAATAGATAAAAGATGAGATGGGATGAAGAAATCTTTGGTTGAAATGTTAGAGAAGGTGATAAATTACTGAAATTGTTTGTACTTGTCTTGATGAAGGGGGAAGTCATTTCTTTATATATTATTTTATAATTTTTCCTCCCTCCTTTTTTTCTTCTTTTCCCTTTTTCTTCTTTTTTCTTTTTATATTTTTCTTAGTTTGTATTAGTTTTTTATCTCTGTGTTTTAAAACTTTAATAAAAATTATTATTACAAAAAAGGAAGTTTCTCCTGACATCTAGCTTCAATCTACTTTCTTGTAATTTTATTCCAATAGTTCTGATCCTGCCCTCTAGGATAATAGAGAATAAGCCTACTCCTACTTCTATGATGCATCATTTCCCATATTTGATGATTGCTTTCATATCTACTCTTAGTTGTCTCTTCTGTAGACTAAAAATATCCAGCTCCCTTAACCATTCTTCATAGGGCCTAGTTTCCAGATACCTCACTCTTTTAGTAGTTCTCCACTGAACTTGCTCATATTTGCCACCATCCCTTTTTGAACTGTGGTGTCCAGAACTGTACTCCAAATTGGGCCTGACCAGAGCAGAGTTGAACAATTACTTTGTGCGATCTGGACTCTATGTTCCTGTTAATTCACCTCAGTATAGCATTTGCCTTTTTAGCAGCTTTTTTATGCTGCTGACTCATGTTAACTTAAGGTTGACAAGGACCAGATCCTTTTCACATGTACTACAGCTAAGTTAGGCCTTTCTCATCCTATATTTGTGCCTTTCATTTTTCCTACCCATATGCAAAACTTTACATTTGTCCCTGTTAAATTCTATCCCATTCACTTCGGTTCACTACTGAAACCTGTTTATATATTTTTAATTTTTCTCTCTCTCTTCTAAAGTATTAGCAACCCACCCAGTTTTGTATCATCTGTAAGACTGATAAGTGTCCCTCAATTCAAGTCTTTAATAAAAATGTTGAACAGCACAGGGCCCAGGTTAGAGCTCTGTGGCACTCCATTCGATACTCCCTTCCAAGCTGAAGTAGAGCCACTAATGAAACTGTTTGGGTGAGTCACTCAGCCAACTGTGAGTCACTCTACGGAGTATCATCTAGCCGAGATTTTATTAAGGAGACTATAAAGAGAGGCTCTGGCAAAGGATTTGCTGAGGTCCAGGTACATTATATGTATGACATTCCCCTGATCTACTAGCTAGTACTGTATCACAGAAGAAGATAAGGTTTGTCTGATACAATTTATTTATAACTAACTTGGCTGGCTCCTGCCCATTTAAGTGTTCACACGTAATGATGTGTGGGAATGACCTTGGGAGACAGGAGGAAGAGCCAGACTGGACAACCAGCATGTAAAAGATACCTCAGTCCACAGAAGAAGGGGTGTGAGAAGTGTTTCAGAAGGGATCTTCTCTAGTTTTCAGGAGAATAAAAGGAGAGGGGAGAAATCTTACAAGATTCTATTAATGTAATCTTACAATAAAGATAGAGCTAATACTCCGGGTTATGCTTCTTGCCTGGACTATCTTGAAGGGCTAACATCACAAAAACGCTCTCCAAGAAACTTTCCCAGTATTGACATCAAGCTTGTCAAACCCTATAATTTCCAGGCTCCTCCTTCTCCCCCTTCTTGATTATGAGGACAGCATTTGTTCTCCTAGTATCCTGGCCAATCTTCTCCTCTATCAGATATAGTGTACAGTATTTTTGTTTAAGTACAATTTGACCTCTTGACAAGAAGATGGAGAGAAGATCAAACAGAAGTATAACAGATTTCAGTTAGACAAGGTAATCAGTGTGAAACAAGTCCAGAAGAGAGGAATTTATTTTAGATGGAAATAACAGAAATGCATTTAATTAGATAAGCCAGTGATAGGAGCTGTCAGGATGGATTTTGAGAGAATGTTCTCTCACAAGACCTCATCATTAAGTAGATGTGGGGTAGAATCCTATGTCCAGATGCTGTGGAATCTATCAGCTCCATGCAGAATGATCAATAGAAATTTATACTCTTCAATATCTGCAGGATTACAGATTTCCCCAGATTGAGACAGTTTGAGATGGCCAGCTCAGGCACCCAATACTGAGACAAAGGAATGGTGATGAGATGCTGAAGGACTCCATGCATGAGGCTTATCCTACAATTTCTAAATTAGTAGCAGATATGCTGTACTATCACCATTATTAAGTAAAATTCAACTGTTGAGTATTCAGCTAGACCTCATAGCACAATGTCCTGGGCCAACTCTGTACTAGAAGTTATGTATATCAAATAAGGACAACAAAAGCTTTTTGAAGCCAAACTGTACATTCAGAATGATCATGATATGATGGTTGAGAATGTACACAAGAAAGCATATCTAAATGTTCCCTATTTAATAACAAATATGCAAACACCTCAGTGCCTGTTGTCAATCAGTAGATAAGTGAAAAAAAGTTCTCCATAACTTTAGACAGTTCCACATTACACCAGTTATACATTCCCAATAACTCCAAACTGTTTTAAAGCCAGCTGTGCAATGTCTTGACTCCATCTGGCCTCAAAATGCAACAAATGTGCTCAGATTACCATGACAAATCAGCACTTCCCCCAGCCAACCAGTTTTGTTTTTTTGTTTTTGTTTTTTAGTGCCTTTGAGTCAATGTTGACTCCTGGCGACTCCCTGGACAAGTCCCTGCAGTGTTCTTGGCAAGATTTTGGAAGTGGTTTGTCATTGCCTACTTCCTAGGGCTGAAAGAGAATGACTGGCCCAAGGTCATCCAGCTGGCTTCATGCCTAAGACAGAACCAGAACTCACAGTCTCCTGGTTTCTAGTCTGGTGCCTTAAGTGGCTCTCAGCCAACCAAGTATGTATGAAGGTATTCAGAGAATCCCACCCTCTGAACACCCTCTTAGAGGTCCTGCTACTGTGTAACAATTATCCCAGTGCCCACACTCTACAATAAAACGTTAGCACCCCAAATGTACATCTTCAGAATAGGTTTATACTTGTGTGGCATGAAAGCTACCTGGGCATATTGTTGATCCTTTTTCCATATATATATATATATATGTGTGTGTGTGTGTGTGTGTATACATACATACACATACATACATACACACACACACACTTAGAATTATGCAAGCATAGTATCAGTCTTGCTTCCAAACGCTAGGATGCAAGGCAGTAGGCTTAAGGGATAGAAGCAGATCAGCGTGAACTAAGGCCACCAAGCCATCAGCAATCTGCTGTGGAATCATGCTTCAAGAGGCAGTGGTAGTGGGGAGAAGAGAGGAAAATGCATCAAATTTGAATGCTCATTAACACGGTAGGCAAGTACTTGCTCAGAAGTGCTGCTCTCACAGCTTTTGCCTTGTTTCCCTCAGCCAACAATTTGGTCCTTCTACTATCTGCTCACTATCTTTGTCACTGCCATCCTCTTTCCCTCTCTGGAGTATGGGCAGGCTCAGATGGAGGGTATTTGTGGCTTTCTTGCTCCCAGAAGCTGGGAGGTTTGGTAAGGCAAGAGCTATGCCAATAGAAGACCAGAGTGTTCTAACATTGGGAAAAAAAAAAGGCCCAACTTTATTCCAGTTACTGTAAATTGGTGAAGAGCGATAAAATAATTCATGTTGTTGAAATATGCTGATATAATGTGAAGGATCAGATCCAGAGCGGAGCAAAGACACTGGGTCTCCTAGTCCTGTTCCCATTAAGATCTAGTGATCTGAAGTATGCCTTCATATTTGCACTGAGTATTAGTATTCTTTACTCCAAGCTAAATTCATCTGAACCTTTTAACATGGCTTCATAGAACTTGATTTCCAAACCTACATTTTGTCCTTCTCTGAAGGTACTGTTATAAAATATGACACTTGGAACTGCTAGTAGTCTTAGTAGCACATAATCAAGTTATACAGTTACTTTTTCTGATCTAATTGCTAGGGGTGCTTCCAGACAAGGCTTTTGTTTTGCAATTACTCTACTACATTCATAGAATTTTACAGAGGAACCAGATGCCATTGTCTTCTATTTGTAGCCCTCCCTATATTATCTGACCACTTTTTAAATTTATTTTTTCTTAAAGAAAAATCCTTTGTGGGAAGTGATGAAATAGCTCCATCAGAACCTTTTGCTATAATATGGGATCACTGTAGACTTCTGTTAATGCAGTCTGAAATATCCTTGCATTTTCAGCAGACATTTCACATTGCTGGCTTTTTGTCTTACATTTTCCTCTGATAAACAAGTTTGGAAAGTTTCTGATTTACCTGACAAGCACACATAACCTATTTGATGACAGCAGAACAGAAATACATGTGCACACCAAGCTACAAAACCAGTTTTTAACTTCCTTTAAAAAAATTGTATCTACCTACCTACAAATTCATTTTTAGCATTTTAGGTTTGTGCATTTCAGTTTACTCAAATACCCTGCAGAACTCAAATTCACAAACTTAAAGAATTGGAGAAATAAGAGAATAGAAGAAGGACCCAAAGGCAGCACCTATTTGTACTTATTAGCTCACAGTGGTCATCCCCAAATCATCCTCATGGCTTGTTAGAGAATGGTAAAAATAGTACTACATCCTCTCTCTTTCTGTGTGTGCCTGGGAGTGTGTCCCCGCACGTGTTTTACAGGCCAGTCCTTCTGTTAGGGCAGTGTTTCTCAACCTGGGCAGCTTGACGATGTGTGGACTTCAACTCCTAGAATTCCCCAGCCAGCAAGGTTGTGAAGGCTGGCTGGGGAATTCTGGGAGTTGAAGTCCACACATCGTCAAGCTGCCCAGGTTGAGAAACACTGCGTTAAGGCGTAGAAAGCACCGCCTCAGGCAAGAGATTTTCTTGTCCCGACGTGGCAGCAAACTGCTAATTACTTAACTCGTAACACTTGCATTGTCCTGCGAGGGAAGGAGAGGCGCTCGTGAGATTCCTCCCTCAGGTGAGAGGAGCACCTGGACTGGGGTGACTGCCGCGTCTTAGGCAGCAAGTCCTGGGCCGGACTTTGCGTCTCTCCAAACCAAAGGCCCGACCACGCTAGGGAGAAACTGCGCCCTCTGAAAGAAAGACGAAGAACCGGTGGGGACGAGGCGAGGTAAGGCATAAGCCTCCGTGGAGCTTTCGTGCTAACCTCTCCCGAAGCCAACAAACCCTTGTTATCACGCCACAAACTCGGCTCGTCCGCCCTCGCCTCTTCTCTCTAGGGACGAGGCTGCTCCGCCCGAGCGATTGGCTACCGAAGCCGGGAGCCAGGCAGGCGGCAAGCAGAGAGTCTCGACCGCACCTATTTTTTGCGCGCGCGCGGCGCGGGCTGGGAACTGAGCCGGGCAAGTACTGTAGTTGGGAGTCCCGGCGGCTTCGAAGCCAGGCTCTTTCCCCCACTCCCTCCCAAAGCTGGATTCTCCACACTGGGATTGGCATGGGGATGGTCTCTGTCTCTCGCTCCCTCCCTCCCTCTCGCTGACTACTGAGGCTCGCGGTGGCGACCTTCCTGCTCGCCCTGCTAGGCGCGGTCGGCCTGAAGCGAAGGAGCGTCAGGGGCCTTTAAAAGCATGACTTATTGTAGCGGATGGGGAAGGCTTTCAGGAGTGTGTGGATGAACTGTAGCCCTCCAGATATTGCTAAAATACAGTATTTGCCGTTCCATCAGCAAGATCGATGCTGAGAGATGCTGGCAGTTGTCCTTCGCCGGATTGTCCATCTCTAAGGGAAGAAGATAATTGGTAGGTGGACTGTTTCTGTTGGTAAAGGGAAGAGGAAAAACGGTGAAGACATTTACGTTCATTTCTTTCTTTAAACTTTAAAGGCATGTGCTGTACTCCCTGTACTCCTTGAGATCTTCAAAGCAGTGCTATATAGGGGGGGAAAAGTGGGGTGGAGAGAAAAGACCTTTCTTCAAAACTGTGTGTGTGTGTGTGTAAGAGAGAGAGAGAGAGAGAGTTGTTTACCCCATATTTTCTGTGCTGCTTGTGTAGCACTCTGGAAGTGTTGGGGTGGAAAGGGGAAGCCTTTCCACCCCAATTACATGAACATGTACTTTTATTGGCAACAATACAGAAATTATTTGCCATTGCCTTGTAGGAGTTTTGAGTTCTTAGCCCAACCTATACCCTTGGTACAGTATTTCCTGATAGTCTCCCATCCAAATATTAACCAAGTTTGACCTTACTTAGCTTTTTTGACGTGAACCAAGTAAGTTTGGCTAGGTGCTGCCACCTGCTGTGACACCAGATATAATAATGGCCACTAATTTAAATTATTTTAAGAAGGGATTAAACAAATTCATGAAAGAGAAGGATTCTATCTGTATGTTCCAGCTGCTGAAAAGCAGCAGTTGAGGAGGACTATCATTCTCAAGCCCTGTTTGTGAACCACCTAGATGTATCTGGTTGACCCTGTGTGAGATAGAATACTGGAGGAGACTGTTTATCTTACACATCTTCCAAAGACTTTGTAGCAGTACAATACCATATTTGAGACCAACCCTCAAGTTTTATAGTTGAGTGGGGTTAACCTGAATTTCTTGTATTCAAAAAAAGCACCCTTGTACTGCATCACCCTGTCTGGGTTACCTATCATACAAAGCAACATAAGGGTTTAGTGCAATGTGTGAACCAAGTCTACAGAACTCATTTTAATTGTATTGAGGCAAGACATCTTTTGGTAAGATTGGCACGGGATTTTTTGTGAATACAGAGAGAACATAAATTGTGGGATTCATTCTAGAGGAATTTGGTGGCATAGTGTTGTAAAACGATGCTTGTACTCTTAGGTGTGGTGAGAATGAAATGCAAGACTGATGAAGAGGGTTTTTTATGTGGTAGGAGCAAAAGGGGGTTAGAAGAAGGAAAGATGGCATGGCATGTCACAAGTTTGTGGGGAGCTTAAACTGGATGGGATAGAAGGAAAAAGGAACGCTTTCGGAAATATGGCTGAATCTGGACATGACAGTGTTAGCTGTAGAGGACTGAAAAATATAAATATATATATACACACACACACACACACACACACTGTATGGGTTTGTGTAATACACTGTTCTAAAATGTGGTTGGCTAGCTTGTGGCTGAGTGGGTTGCATGAATTTAGCCAGAGTGGCTACTTTGTTATTCACTGTTGTACAAACCCAGACAATTGTGTTAGATCAGTAAAACACTGTTCAGTTAACTATATGTTAGCTTGTTATGTGAACCCAGCTACCATGTAGGTCTGGTCAATGTGCTAATTTCTGAGACCCTGTTTGCAGATATGAGATGGCTGTTGATGCTAGATGCTGGTGGATAATCAATGCCTATGTGGTCCAGACAAGATTATTCATTTTAATTTTACAATTCATATAATTTCTGACGTACATAATGTTAAAAATATCAAAGCAGGGAATAATTAAAAAATAAAGTGATAATTGTTGGATCTCAGTTATTTTTTATAATATTAATTGTAGTATCCTTTAGGAGTGACTGCTAAGTGGGAATTGGCGGCACTGTAATAAAGCGATTACAGTCTTTTCTGTCGGACAGCTTCCAGAATGATAGCAGAACACTGTTGCTCAGCTTGTGGCATTTAAGCTACAGAGTATTGCAGGGTTCTGTCTGGTGGGGAAGGTCATTCAAAGATTTAGGCCAGAATGCCATCAATATTCTGATGATTATCATTTCTGTCTTTACATTCCCTCTGAATCAGAGAAGGCAGAGCAGGGATCCGGAAAGCATGCTGAGGTACTAATGATGAGACAGATCATTCCCAGGCTCACAGGTGGGAACACACCCTGCTCTGTATGATCTGCAGTGGCCCAGAAAGAGCAAGAAAGAGCTGATTGCCATCCAGCAGCCCTGTTTAAGGTGACCTGGCCTGTGTTGGATAGGGAGGGCCCCTCAGAACATCTCTTGGGCTGCTGTGAGGATTATTCAGGCTATCTAGCAGATAAAGTCAGATTCACTCCAACTTGGACTATGTCTGGGCAGGGCAGGCTGAGGCGCATGGGGCAGGGTCTGGGGGTATGATCTGGGATGAGTTTGAGCTGCTGACTCCTGAGGAAGTAGACAGGGTTCTCTGGGCCACATGTTTACTGGATCCAGTCTTGGGTCATAAAGGTGGCCAGGGAGATGACCTGCAGTTGGGTCCATGCTGTGGTGTTGCCCTCTTTGATGGAGGGGGTGGTACCTCATGCCTTGAAAGAGGCAGTGGTATGCCCCCTCAAGAGGTCATCCTTGGACCCAGTGGTTCCAACAATTGTCAACCAGTCTCCAGGTGGCCTGTCTGCAGCTGATGAGAACCCTGGAGGAAATGGATTATCTAAACTCATTTCAGTCGGGTTTCAGGTCAGGATTTATGACTGAGACAGCCTTGGTTGCACTTGTTGATAACCTATGGCAGAAATGGGATGGAGGTGGTACATCCATCCTTATGCTCCTTGACCTCTCAGCAGCTTTCAGTACCATTGACCATGATATCTTTCTGAGCCAGCTCTGTGGTTTGGGGATTGGTGGCACTATTTTATGGTGGTTCTCTTCCTTTCTCTGGAGCCAGTTCCAGTCGGTGTTGGTTTTGGGGATGAGATCACTCCCTAGGCCCCTTCTGTGTGGGATGTCACAATGTTCTACTCTTTCTCTCTCCTCCTTTTACATGAAACCATTGTGTGAGGTCATCTGGTGGTTTGAGGTTTGGAATCATCAGTACACTGATGATACCCAATTATAACTTTCAACCCCAGGCTGGTCAAGTGAGGCTGTTAAGGTTCTGTCCCAGTACCTGGAGGCTGTGCAGGTTTGGATGGGGAGGAACCGTCTCTGACTGAAGTCTAGCAAGACTGAGTGACTGTGGGTATTTGGGACACCCAGATCTGAGGTTATTCCATCTCTGACCTTGGATGGGATTGCACTTCCCCATTCAAGGACAATGTACAATCAGATGGTTGTGCTGGACTCACAGCTCCTGTTCAATGAGCAGGTGGCAGCTGTGGCCAGGAAGGCCTTTGAACAACTTCATCTGGTGCACCAGTTGCACCATTTCCTAGATCAGGGGGCCCTTCAGATAATCACTCATGCCCTAGTCATCTCATGGCTTGACTACTGCTATGCATTCTATATGGGGCTACCCTTGAAGAACACTCAGAGGCTCCATCGGGTTCAGAACGCAATGGTGCAGGCAGTGATGAGCAAGCCTTGGTATGCCTGTCATACCTTTGCTTTGTGAGCTGCATTGGTTGCCAGTTTGTTTCCGGGTATGATTCAAGGTGCTGCTCATTACCTGTGAAGTCCTACATGGCACAGAGCCTGGTTACTTGAGGGACCACCTGTCTCCCATAGTAATTGCCAACCAATTCGATCTTGTAGGGTTGGCATGCTTCAGTTTCCTTCGATTAAACAGTGTCATCTATCGGGACCCTGGAAGCATGCCTTCTCTGTAGCAATGGCTGCCCTCTGGAATGAGGTTCCTCCTGAGATCCAGATGGTCCCCACTCTGCTGTTTTTTAGAAGGGCTATGAAGATCTGGTTTTTCACCCAGGCCTTTGGCAAGGGAGAATGAGACCCCTTGCTTCGTTTCTGTCCAATCTATAATTCTTGCTTTCTTTTATCCTTTTCCCCCTCTTCTCTTTAATTGATTTTATTGTAATTTCCTTCTTTTGGTTGTTGTGAGCCACCCAGAGTCATTGGGAGTCAGGCAGCATACAAGTTTGATAAATACATACATACACAGTCCAACTTTGTCATTGTATACGCAGGGGATTTAGCTGGTGTGCTAGTTGCAGCATTTATTTCCTAGTGATCCATGTCTTAGAAGTTTATTTTGAGTTTATGATAATGCATTCCGGGATTGAAGGTGGTTTGGAGGCTTCAACTAGTGCAGAATGCCTGGTTATGGTTTGACACTGAATGGTCAAAATCACATTCTCAGTCATCTGCACCTGATGCCTATTTGTTTTGGACCCTACCTCAAGATACTGATGCTAATTTGCAATGCCTTATGCATCTTTGGACTTAGGTATTTGTTGGAATGCTTTTCCTGATATATCCCAGGACAAGGGTCATGGCGCTGAGAAGTGTGGAGTGGACAAAGGTCATTGTGCTGTGTGTAGCTGATGCCAAGAGGATGAAGGGCCCAGTTGGTGGTGGTGGTGGTGCCGGTGCTGCCATTGCTGCTGAACATCTTCTCTGCTGAACATCCCTTGCTTGGGCCCTCAAGCGTGACCAGTAGTTCAGTTTCACAGTCTGCGCCTCATTATCCAGATTATTATATTTCTGGCCTTTGATGCCTTTGCTCCTGACCATTTTGCATTGTGCTTTTATTGTCATATGTAAACTCTTTTCCAATCTTTGAGTGATAGTCATCTAAATACAAATCATGATCACCGGTCATGTCTACTTTTCCACAAAGCAAGAATTCTCTCCCTGGACGGAATGAATCATCTTGGGGTGTGAAGCTGCTAAGCCCTAAAGAGGAGGTGGAGTCTAGTGTTTTTTTTTATGAAGCTTGGACTGAGGGGGGGAGTAGAAAATGTTGCGGGTTGCGGCTGCATCTCTGCTTTTGCATATGCCGAAGCGAAACGTTTTTCTCTACGGAAACGGGTCAGCTGTTGCCAGACTCTCGGATTCTTCTCCGTTGTTTGCTGATTTAAAAGAGAACTGGAAGGGGGGCGTCCGTGGAGAACGCAAAGCAGAGCTTAGCGTGGCTGCTGCAAGTCAGCAGCCTTTCTTGATCATGATTGCCGTCGTCACCGCGGCGGCTTCAGGAAGCTCCTGAGGACATAAGGAGGGAAGGAGCAGGGCGGGCCGCGGCGCGGCGCAGGGTTGTGGCAGGCCGCGCGTGTGTGTATGTGTGCCTCCCCCCCCAGCATATAAATGTAAACAGTGCCCTCGCGTGTGGGCGGAGCTGGGCCGCCTCTGGTGCGCCCGGATTGGCCTTGCTGCCTTATTTTTTATTGGCGACCGGGAGGGCTCTCTCTCCCCTTCGCCCCGGAGAGGCAGTCAGAGCGCGGGGCTGCTGCCGTCGCTGTGCTTGCTGGCTGGCTGTTCGTCCGCACGGCCAGAGGCCAGCTCGCTCTCCGAAACGCGCGCGGAGCGTGTCGTTCCCTGGTGCCCGGGAAGGGTCCGGATTGCCTCTGTGATGATTCAGAAACCCTGAGCGTAAGTAGGGCCGGGAGAGGGGGGCGGGGGGCGGGATTGGGGGCCGGGGTATCTCGGTGTGCGTCCGTGTCTCCACCCTCTCTTCTCGTTATCC